TTCGAGCCCATTGTGTAAGGGCTTACTTGGGAGGCCTTGAAGCCATTTTCTGGTTTTCTTGTCAGCCATGTGTTCAGCTTCTTTCTAAATGGAGATACAATGGCAAGTGGGTTGCCATAACGCTTCGCTATCATTTCCTTTGCCTTCTGATAGCATAGCCTGAAATAAATTTAAAATTTATCCCGCAAAACTTCCGAGCAAAATGAAATTTGACTGAGATTTGACCGCACATTTTCAAATTTGGTCGGAAACGTTTTAGTTTAGTTTGCTGAAGTCTCTCCTTTATGTCAATAAAATAGTGCCAAGCATGCAGTAAATAATGTCTTTATCACAGAATGTTTTAATTAAATATCTCGCACTGTTGAATGTTGTTACTATATCTCGACCTTCACAACCTGGAGGATAGAGAAGACTATGTTTCCTCAACGTTTTGAGCAAGCTTACAACCTTTTATTCAGCCCTGTAAACCAGCCTGACTGTCCTGATAAAGGCCTTAATTTACGTTTATGCTCGAAACGTCAAGTAAACTTATTTGTTATCTTCCAAGTAGTCCTCAAATTAAAAACAAAAGCAGTCACTCTGACTTGCAAATCAGTGACTGTCACACACTTTTAACTTAAGTTTAATACATAAACTTTGTTTAAAGCATGCTATAAATCAGTCATAATGATTGAAGAAAATCAACTCAACTGTAAATTTAACATGAAAAATTGAAGTGAATGTCAATTCAAAGTCTCCTAAAATACACTAAATACAGCAACTACTATAAACATGGCTTCTCACAACCATTTAATGTCAGAGTTCTGTAATTTACAGCTCATTCCCGCTATGATCTTGATCTTCCATCCATTGATCCCAGTCATCCAACAGACTCCCATCAGCCTCAATCTAAAATTCAAGGTTGCAAACTTTTATAGTACTTTAATTAACCCACTGAGTGGCAGCACACTCCCCCTGATCAGTAAAATCATCTGGTGTTAAAGTAAAATAATAATATAGCAGGGTGCATAAAAATAATAATATAGTAATATAATAAAAAAAATAATATAGTAGGGTGCATCTGGGCACATCGCCACTTAAAGGGTTAAAATTCTGAATGCAGCCAATTTGAAACTAACTTCAGGGTTCAAATTTACTTGGTTACCTTATGGTTTCTCAACATGGGCCTTTTACAAAATACATAGTTCATATATTTAAAAGGTATCTTACCATCCCTTCAATGACCACCCTTAACTCATCTTAGAAATTAAGAGCAGCCCCATTTGCTTCTCCAGGTGTCCTTTCAATATAGAAGAGTTTGTTTGATCTTCTTTTCACTGCTTAATGAGATATGATCTGGGACGTTCATCTCCTCCTGGACAACAGGACAGTTCATGGTAGGAAGCCTCACTGATGCAAAATTTGTCCATGATATGCAAGGTCTCCTGAATTTTTTGCTGCTCTTCAGTGGGCAGATCTTTGTATGATTTTCTCCCCTTTTCTCCGAATGAGAGAGAATACGGTTGCCCTAAGTGATCAACCAATTTAACTCCATCTAACTTTAACTTGAAGGATTCACTGAACCACAATGCCTGTTCTACTTGGGTTTCCAAGTATTTGAGCTTGCGTTCTTGCTGCCGATTTCCTATTTCATTATTGGATTTCCCTTTGTCCTCAAAGTTTCTTTCAGGGGAAATCTTTTCAATTACATTATATAAATTTTCATTTTCTTGCTTTAATTTATCAATGTCCACTTAAGCTTTATCAATTGTTATCTGCATTTTGTTTACTAGTGTTGATGTCTCATTATTATTTGAAGTTATATAGAATATAGAATATAGAATATAGACTATAGAATATAGAAGATATAGAATATAGACTATAGAATATATATATATATATATATATATAGATAGATAGATAGATAGATAGATAGATAAATAGATAGATAGATAGATAGATAGATAGATAGATAGATAGATAGATAGATAGATAGATAGATAGATAGATAGATAGATAGATAGATAGATAGATAGATAGATAGATAGATAGATAGATAGATAGATAGATAGATAGATAGATAGATAGATAGATAGATAGATAGATAGATAGATAGATAGATAGATAGATAGATAGATAGATAGATAGATAGATAGATAGATAGATAGATAGATAGATAGATAGATAGATAGATAGATAGATAGATAGATAGATAGATAGATAGATAGATAGATAGATAGATAGATAGATAGATAGATAGATAGATAGATAGATAGATAGATAGATAGATAGATAGATAGATAGATAGATAGATAGATAGATAGATAGATAGATAGATAGATAGATAGATAGATAGATAGATAGATAGATAGATAGATAGATAGATAGATAGATAGATAGATAGATAGATAGATAGATAGATAGATAGATAGATAGATAGATAGATAGATAGATAGATAGATAGATAGATAGATAGATAGATAGATAGATAGATAGATAGATAGATAGATAGATAGATAGATAGATAGATAGATAGATAGATAGATTGATAGATTGATAGATTGATAGATTGATAGATTGATAGATAGATAGATAGATAGATAGATAGTCATATTCATGATCCTTTTTGTAACCTAAGGTGCTCCTTATTGTAACCTTCAAGGTTACAAAAAGGAGCATTTTGCTACACCTTGCTCCTTTTTGTAACCTCTGCTCCTTTTTGTAACTTCAGCATGCTCCTTTTTGTAACCTTGTTTGCTCCTTTTTGTAACCTCATGCTCCTTTTGGTAACCTTATGCTCCTTTTAGTAACCTCTTGTGCTCCTTTTTGTAACACAAAGCTTTATTAAGAAAATTTCGAGTTTTAAACAGGATTTTGAGGTTTAAACATTATTTTCCATATGGTATTTCTTGTCAAACTCCATCATTCTCTTCAGAATATGCATGGATAGATAATACACCAAAAAATGAAGATGGAAAATAAAAAGATACCAGGATACTTTTTTTAGAGCTAAAACTAATTGTATTTTGGCTTTATTTCTTTGGATTTTCCCTACAGTCCTCCATAAATAGCATCATAAAGAGACATTTCATTTTGAAAAAGTTGAATTATATGTTCATTGTGTAAGGGGACAATGTATTATATGGTAACGAAATGTCTCAACCTTTGATTTGATTCCTAGCGGGAGACATGCACTTTTGCCATTGTTTTCCTTGCAAAGTACCCATGTGCCTTTGAAAAAACTTATAAACAAAAGAACTTATAGTTTTCCGCATATTTTAGTATGCACTTGTAGACCTAGATGTTAAATAGTAAAAATTTCGAAGCATTTAAAGTTTTCTGTGCATGTACGTGTGTATAAAAAACGTGTAACTGGAAAGCAGCCCTTATGAATAATTGATAACTGGATTTGTTTATAAAATAACTTTGAAACACAGGAATAATGAAAACACTGAAATCAAGGCAAGTCAAGAGCATATTTATTAAAAATCATTACAATTATTATATGGCATACTAATTATACATACTGTACCCGTACTTTATATCTATTGTACATTTATTATTTACTCAAACAAAAAATGTTATTCATCATAAGAGTGAAATTTTAGGTATTTCACACTAATAAGGATCATAGAATGAATTTCTTGAATGAAATAGATAATTTAGTTTGTATTAGCACTAACATCGTTATAATTTCAAGCAACTAATGGACTAAATAATAGCGATTATATATAATATATAGATATTACTTTAATATATAACAGTAGCAATCATAATGAACACCGTTGTCCAATGGAACATAAACCTATCCTTTTTTTATAGCCTAGAAAGTTGATAGTTCTACTGCTGCTATCTGGTCAGAGCCATACCTAAAAGCTTATAGATTTCACATAACTTTTCAAAGCGCGGTTGCGAAGTTCGTTGCGACGTTCCGTGCGAAGTTCGTAATTAGAATGTTCGAAGTTCAAAACGAAGTTTGAAGCTCAAGTTTGAAGCTCAAAATCGTAAATTTGAGTCACGAAGCATTAAAATATATATGTTATTTACCAGATTGGAGATCCGTATAAGGAAATATTTCCCAATGTCTCAAAAACAGTCCAAGGCCGAAGGCTGAGGGACGTTTTTGAGACCAAGGGAAATATCTCCCTATACGGACTGACTAAACTGGTAAAGAGAGTGCTGAGAACTGATAAAGAGAGTGCTGAGAACTAGACTTTTCTGAGTAAAACCTTAATTGAATTTAAACTTCCATATCTGTTATACTTGGTCCTATACAACGGATAAATCTGCTATCCAGCGGATAGTTATCCATTGGATAAAAACGCATTGTACAAAGTGGATAGTGGAGTGGATAGCTATCACACGCCTGATAAAACCTATCCGTTGGATAGCGAGTAATCCGTTGGATAGACTGGATAGACTTACCCACCTTTCGAACAACCGGCCCCTGCATGCCCAACTTTGACAATTTCTCTATGACAAGTACACTTGTACAGAAAGTTGGGTATAGAGACGAACAATTAAAACTTGTCACATAAAGACTTAGAAAACTTGCTCTTCTGTAACAGGCTTTATACATGAGATTGCTGAGCTCAGGCTGACTTTTAACATTTAAATATTTAATTCAACTGTTTCTTAGCCCTACTTTTAGCTTTACTCTACTCTACTCTTCTTTTCAAATTCTTTTCCTGCTTGGGCCTTGGGACAAACAATGGCTTTTCTTTCCGAGCGCACTCTATCGACTAATTGGCGGTCAGTAAATAGCCGTTTTCACATCAGAAGACGAACAAATCATCTGGTCGAATAAGTCGTCTCAGTTGGCCAAATCATCTATTTGAAGACGAGTCGGACAAAATTTCAGACGGAACAAAATCGTCTAAATTTGCTTGACCCGTCTTTTAAGACGATTTTTCGGGGACGATTTGATCGTCTTGACGAACTAGTCCTCGTAAATTGTAAAATGTCTTGGATTCATACATATCGAACAAATTACATGAACAAAATAATATATTGCAGTATTGCAATCGCAAGGGGAATGGAAATAGCGGCAATTTCAGTAATTTACAAAGCACAAAGCCGTGTTTTTGTCTGTCTAGAATTCATATTGGACGAACAATTTGCAGCACGACTTATTCGACCAGATGATTTGTTTGTCTTCTAATGTGAGAACGGTTAATGTTTCCAACAAATGGGAAAGCCCAGGTGTTTTCTGCAAGTTGGGACGAGTGAAGGAGCTTTGAAAAGGTTTTAGTAAATAAACGCTCTTCTTCTATTGTTAGAAGTGACGTCAATGTCCTTTTAGAACTATTTACCGATGGAGCTTACTCGCTGTCACAAGTTTTAGGAAGTTTCACTTTCATCTGGGTTGTTTGGAGTTTCTAAAATATAAGTTTCAATTCAATTATTCAATACAGAATGTAGATATAAAACTTTTATAATAATACCATTGTTGCTAATATCATTGTCTTATGAAGCTGAATCTGTAAGATCTGTAAGAGCAATCAGATGGAAACTTTTTAGAGTATACTAGGAATTGCAAAAATATCCCCCACTAGGATATCAGCGATAACTTGGTCAAAACAGTATGTAAAACCTCATGCATTATATCCAAATTTAATTCAGACAGAGGATATAAAAAACATAATTATAGCATAATAGCTCGTTTAATTATTAAGTTATACTCAATCAAACAGGTTAACTTTTTTCGCCCCAGGGAGACAGGGCATGTTCTTTGGGTACCAAATGCTCAAACATTTATAAAAACTAAATTACATTTCAAGGCTGGAAGTAACAGCGCCGTAGAATTTTTTTGTTCCGAGAAGATTCAAGGCTGCCGTTCATCTTTATCGGAATTAAATGCTTGTGATTAAGCCAATAAGGAACACCATTTTTATTCATTACGTACACACGAAGTGGGTACAGTAGTATTGGAATTTTATTCCATGCAAATAAAGCACATATATAAAAACTAGTCAGGTAATTTCCGCTCTGATTGTTACCCTGCCAGACGAAGAATTTTAGACAGTGTGTTTGTGAAAGCAGGCTTCCACTGAAACATAGCTACATAACAGTCATAAAGGTTGACTTCCAGATAATATCTGACTTTTGAAACAACAGAATTAATGAATAGATACCCAGAGTTTATTACTCTTCACAAACTTGCCTGTTTAGTTTTATAGCAACTGAAACCCTTTTAAAATTCACGGGCGTATAAATAGTTACGGACAGAAAACGTGACAGGGGAAATTATCCTTAACTGGACTCTCTAAACTTATTGCGTGTTTTTAGCGCGTTAACTAAGGGAAGTGCATGTGATGACATAATTAGCGTATATATTGATCAGAATTATGTTTCGTAGCAATTTTTGTAACTTAACTTTTAAGATTCCAACTTTCCCATGCATACACGTACCAAAATCTCAATTACAGTTAAAGACGCGTGGTAAAGGATGTGCTAATTGATGTCAAGTCACAATTCAATACTCAATTCGCAAACTGCATATCAGGGCAGTACCAATGCAAGATAATTTACTAAAAAAAGTATATACATAGGTACCAAAAGTGTTTAAACAAGTATGCGACAAGTATAATTTCCAACTACTATAGTTTTAGACTATTTGAGTCACTTATCATAGACTTGGTAGTTGGTATGCTCTACTAAAACATATTTGTGTGTATTTAAGATAATCAAGTCACGCATTTCATCGGAGCTTTTATAAGCAAAATAGCAAACACGTTTGCTTGACATTTTAACACATACCGTACAGTTAGGTGTTTTCTATATTCTAACGCTATTGGTTTGGTCCTAATATCCAAATTGTGTTCCATAAGTATGTTGTTATCACTTACTATGGTCCACATAATGCATACCGAAATTATATGTTATATGTTTTCCTTCCGAATTAAACCCAGCATACAAAGTATCTAAAACCTAAATCATATACATATCCTATACATCAACTTATACAGGCCGGGACATAGGATTATAAACATAAATAAAAGAAAATAATACTCCCTGACCATAGAGTGAAGACTAGCAAACAAGCAGGTAGCTGAAAAACAAAAAAAACTGTTGGTTTGTCGGAACTGAGTTACATAGAACAAGCACCCTGTAACAAGTACTCCCAGGTAGGGGGCAACGGTGCTTTAGTAAAATTTTAAACTAAGTTGCTATAAATATAAAGTACAACCAGTCAAAATTTACTAAAATTTGCAAAAATATAATAGAACATTCCTAACCTACAATCACTGACAAAACCTTTCCGGACACTTACATATTTTCGTTCATTTTTTGGACAGCTCATTAAAAACAGTGGCTTCTCCCCCGTCCCCCTCTTCAATGTTGGCTAAAGGCAAATTTGTTTTTGTAGAAAGCCTTTCGAGCGACAGTAAGTAATATATTAAGCCATATTTTTTTATATTCAACATCGAAAGGAAGCGGGGGGGTACAAGGGGGGTTCATATTGAAAATTTCAGTGAAATGTCCAGATAGTTTTGTCACTGATTGTAGTCTAAGACCACTCAGAGATAATACAAAAATTTGATGTGAACAAAGGACATGGTAATAAAACCCCTCTCCACAGAATCAAAAGACTGCTGTCGGGTTTATATGCATAAATACACTAGCACATTCTTACTCTGTTAAACAAACATTATCAAGTATAATGTATCAGCCCATATTTACTTTCTAAAGACAGATTACATGTTATGACCACCCAGTTATCAAAATCATAAATAACACAGGGCATCAGTATTCTACTGTATATATAATAGGCACAGCATGCAAGCTGTTCTCCAAGAATGTATTGCTCCATAGAATTAGAGGTTGCTGTAGGCTTGATATACACTTATAAGCATACTAGAATATTTATCTACTCTTTAATATACAAATATAACTATTTTGAGTATATCATCCCTTTATTTCTCAAGACTGATGGCATGCTATGAGCACACTAGAAATTAACAATATCATACAAGTTATCCCCAGGTTAATAGCCACCTCATAACTTATCAAAACAGGTCACTACTATTCTTTAGTAGCCAGATAAAGTGAGCTGTTCTCCTAGTAATTAGTTAATAACATGCTAACAAGCAAGAAATCCCCCTCCACAGAATATATGGGCTGCTATCAGGTTGATTAAAATGATACGCACAAATATACTAGATGTATCCCCACCAGTGGCATAGCCAGACTGATGATTTGTCTCGCTATGCTAATACTTTGGTGTTCACTGACTGTCAAAACAATACAATATTTCTAAAGACCTGAGAAATTCTAATAACTCAAAATTTAGATAGCAGGACAAAATTGTTAGGCTGGCTAAGCGACTGTTCCTCACTCAACAATACAAACATAACTTTTTTATGTACACTGTATATTATAAGACCCTTATTTACTTTCTAGAGGCTGGTTGCAATGGCCATAATGCAATTCAACAAAAGAGGTCATTATCACCCTAATGTATCTACAGCTTGTTGTTTTTATAGCAATTAGTTAATAACATGCAGAAACTTCCCCTGCATAGAATATAAGGGAAGGATTTATATCAATAATATGCACAAATATACTAGTTGTATCCTCACTTAACAATACAAACCAACTTTTTAATGCATATCAGATCCTTATTTACTTTCTAGAGTTTAATGCACTAGGCAGTGACCACCGGTGCAATTTATCAAAACACATCATTACCATTATCGGGTTGATATGAATGATATGCACAAATGTACTAGTATATCCTCACTCAACAAGCAAGCAAGCAAGCTGTTCTCCAAGAATGTATTGCTCCATAGAATAGGGGTTGCTGTAGGCTTGATATACACTTATAAGATAAGTATACTAGAATATGTATCTACTCTTTAATATACAAATATAATTATTTTAAGTATATCAGCCCTTTAATTTCACCCTTTTATTTCTCAAGACTGATGGCATGCTATGACCAAACTAGAAATTAACAATATCATACAAGTTACCCCCAGGTTAATGGCAACCCCATAACTTATCAAAACAGGTCACTACTATTCTGTAGTAGCCACATCAAATGAGCTGTTCTCAAGCAAGAAATCCCCGTCCACAGAATATATTATTTATATTATTTGCTTTTTTATGTACACTGTATCTAAGACCCTTATTTACTTTCTAGAGGTCGTTTGCAGGTTAATGGCCATAATACAATTCAACAAAAGAGGTCATTATCACCCTAATGTATCTACAGCTTGTTGTTCTTATAGCAATTAGTTAATAACATGCAGAAACTTCCCCCGGCATAGAATATAAGGGTTGCTATTTGGATTAATATCAATCATATGCACAGTTATCTACTAGTTGTATTCTCACTTAGCAATACAAACCAACTTTTTAATGCATATCAGATCCTTATTTACTTTCTATAAATTAATTGCACTAGGCAATGACCACCAGTACAATTTATCAAAATTAACACATCATTACCATTATCAGGTTGATATGAATGATATGCACAAATGTACTAGCATATCCTCACTCAATTATACAAACATATGTAACCTTTTAAAGTATATCAGAGTAATCAGACCCTTATTCAATTGTTAGAGACTGATCACAGGTTATTGACCAATGTAGTCAGAGCAAGCAAACTGTTCTAGCCAATTTATAATTAAAATGCACACAAGCAAGAACTTCCCATTCCATGGAATACAGTAATACAATTATACGCACAAAATTCTTAAGTATGTATTGGCTGTGCCAAATTCAACCAGAGGGGTATGTTATAATTATTTGGCCTATTAACTTTGAAACTACCAAGCCTAAAAACTAGCACTTCACATAAACAACCAGATTACTGAATAAAAAGGCCAAATTTTATTTTGAACAGGTCTTTGATTCCTCTGCTACAGTATAGAAAACAGAGGTTATGATAACAATATCATAATATTTGGCTTATTTACTCAGTTATCCTTCAACCTTGAAAACAAACAGCAACTGTTAAAGCTATTTTTATTTGCTGTAAATTAGTTAGTTAATAAGGCATGTTATTAAACTCACTCTTAAATGTAAAATATGGAGAAAAAATAATATTTTCTTACCTTTAACAGACAAAATATCCTAAAATCGCCGAAACCTTTTTACAAATGTCCAAAATAGAGCAAAATAAACACTATGTGATCCTTATTAATCCCAAAATACCCTATAAAACAGCCTGAAAAATCGGGCATCTCCCTCCTTAAGATTGTCAGGCAAATGGGGGGTGTTTTCTAAAAACTTTGAAAAAATATTTCTAGACATAAAAAAATTTATTTCTTTAGTATATACTGCAATATTATACATTTTATTCATTCCAATTGAAGAAATAGATATATACCTTTCACTAAATAAAAATGGCATTATCCCGACGTGAACTTCAAATGCTTTAAAAATTGCCGTTTGGCGATATTTTATTCCCGTTTTTGTATTTTGAGATAGTTAAACACTAGTAAACTGTGCACAGAGGAGTTATAGCTCAATTCTCAAAAACAAAATTTCGAAATGTTACAAAAGGGAACAATTTAGGTTACAAAAAGGAACACGCTCCTTTTTGTAACCTCACTATTTTCATAAAAAAATTAAAATTAAAAAAAAAGAAAAAACGATAAAACTGAGACTTACTGTATGTTATATTCATATAAATATAAAGCACTGCAAATATGGGCTGGATTCCTTGTAAATTAAAGATTTTATGCCCAAAATCAAAAGTTGTTGCCTTGTTTCAGAGCTCTTTCTAAACAGAGTGCAACAAACTAGTGCAGTAAGAGTACAACATATCTGCACCTAATTTTTTCCCTCAAAGCTCGAAGATCGACCGGAATAGAATCAGGTGGTTCTTTAGATAAAGATTATTTAGCTTGCAACCCCTCATCTACCCAAGATCCGCAAAAAAAATAGTTAAAAATGACGATTTCCCTGATAGTGCTCCTTTTTGTAACCTTCAAGCTACTTTTGTTACAAAATAAGACAAACAGCGTAATTGTGAGAGATTGCGGCATAGCATAGCAAAATAACCTTACAAGAGTATTCTATGCAAATTTCAGAACTATGCCAAATGTATTAACGGAGATATCCTGCTGTCAACATCGGGTTACAAAAAGGACAAGACATTGATCTAAAGATAGATAGATAGATAGATAGATAGATAGATAGATAGATAGATAGATAGATAGATTGTTGGTTGGCATTTGGCATAATTTCATGGCATTTGGCATTATCATTGTGCTAAATGCCATGGCATTTGGCATAATGACTATGGCATTCGGCATAATCTCCATGGTATTTGGCACAATGCTAACATTGTGCCAAATACCATGGCATTTAGCACAAATTTTATGGCATTAAGCACAATTGCTATGGTATTTAGCACAATTTGATGGTATTTGGCACTATGTTGTGCGAAATGCCATGTCATTTAGGGGAATCTGAAATTGGTTCCATTTTTTCTGTTTCTTACTGCTTTTCGATGTTTTATATACTTACTGGTTTGTATTTTTATTACCCCAGTATTCACTCTCTTTTTACTAATTGAGGCTTTTCTATATAACTGTTTTTTATACAGTTGTTTAATCCCTGTATTTTATTTTTCATCCTTTTTTGCATTTTTTTAAATATTCTTACGGCCATTTTTGTTTTTACCTTAACCTTGTTTTTTACTGCATTGTGAAGGTATTCACTTTTTTTTAGTCCTAGTTTTTACCCTGTTTGAACTTTCTCACTCTATTCATGGTGTTTACATTTTTAACTGATTTTTTCAAAACTTTTAACTGTTCCCTCCCCCTTCTATGCTGTGGATTACCATTCTTTACTTTTTAGGTTCCATAATTCGTGTGCGGTTAATATTCACATATTCAGTTCGGCCAGATGTATTTCGTTTTAAGCGAAATAGCTTAGAATCGAAATCCGTCAGGCAGAACTGAATATATGAATAATTCACCCTTTCAATTATCGTTCTAGTTACGGCCCTGGCTGCCAGGGCCGTAACTAGAACGATAATTGGGGGGGTGTTTATTCATATATTCAGTTCTGCCCGACGGATTTCTTTTGTAAGTGCAATAGCTCACAATGGAAATCCGTCGGGCAGAACTAAATATATAAATAAACACACCCCCCCCCCCAATTATCGTTCTAGTTACGGCCCTGCTGGCTGCGATGCTGTTCGCTACCTCATGCATGTATATAGTATCTAATTACCTAAGTTTGTGGATAAAAGTTTACTTTCAATATACACGGTTAAACCAATTCACTACATTTAAAAATGCGTTTTTTTAATTTTGCTGCTTCAATATCGAATGCCTGTGGGTATTGAAAAATTATTGTTTCAGAACAGGTACAAGCGAGTTTGAGCAAGGAAACGAAGTACGAAGACGAAGACGTGTTTTGGCCGAGGTAGACTGGGAATAGTAGTCTTCGTCTTAAGTCTTCGTGCAGCAGGATATTTGAATTTAGCAGTTCTGTTAAAGTTATACGACTACGAACACGGTACTAATTTTGTAAACATGAACAGAGCTGAATACCAGATGGCTATTTTAGCAATGTTTTTAGAAGATGCTTTGGAAGTGGAAGATGTTATGCTTCTTTACGGTTTAAAAATCTCAAACAACATTTATATTCCATACAAGAACTATTCAAGATATTCTAACTTTAAGTGCTTTTTTTATTTTTTACTAAAAAACAAGAAATGCTCTTATTGTTACAAATTGCATATAGGTAATTACAACCTGGTAAAGTAAATTCAACTTCTTTTAATCTAAAAGCAAGTTGTACATAGGCCTATTTGTAAATTAGGAAAAATCACTTGCAAATGATAGTCCCCTGTCATACCTCTCAAAGGCACGTTGTCGTAAGATTATTTTATGTAATGTTAAGATACAATTGAATTCGGCATGACTAAGTAATGGTTACAGAATAATCACGTGTTCATGAGATATATATAATCCCGAGAATTAGGTAAAAGATCACCAGGGGCCTTTGGCTCCCAGTTTCATTTATCGTAATCAGACCACTCTAAATTAATTAAATGGAATTTAATGAATTCCCTACACTATGAGAGATATATAAAGCATGCAAATACTGGCAGCTGATTAGCTGAGTGAAGGTAGCTATTCTCTGACGCATAACATAATTATTATCCTATTAAGTTGTGTTACATGATGTTCAATTGAAATTAGCATATTTCCCGTCCCTATCGCAGCGTTTTACTTTATTTATAAGCTGTATTTGGCTGTACTTTTCTGTAAGTCCTAATTCTTTGCAGACCTTGTCATTGATAATGCATTTCCAAATAGCGTCATCGCTGAGATTGCCTTCACGTTGGAGGTCTATTGTCGCCCGTAAAACTGCTACTGTCTCTTTTGCCAAAAAATATATTTTCTTCTTTGGACTTTTTTTTGGACTAAACCGCCTTGCTACAGTACGAAATAATTGAGAAACTGATTAGGTTAAGCATTCATTGGTTGGGGAAAATACGAGAGAATTGAGCTTTTGGAATTCAGAAGAGCAAATTATTTTCCTATCACACACTCAATACTTACATGCCAGTTGCATTCGCACACTTCGCAAAGGTTTCTTTGGCGATATTTTCGCACGTTTAACAGGCCTCCATTGTTGTTGCATCAAACGTTTTTCTGAGACAAAGAGATTGAGGTATAAGAAAATAAAAAAGGGACAACACAATCACCACATACTGGCCAAACGTAATTCAAAGCAATGTAGAACTAAATTATTTATGTTTATGGATCACATTTAATATACCGGTGGCTATTATTACAGTGCCTATGTGTCTGTTTTCAGCTAGTATCTTACTTTTTTCAGGACTTCTTCCCTCCACTTTTTCCGGACTTTTTTCTGGACTCGAATGACTGTCTTCCGGACTTTTTTCAGGGCTTTGTTCAATAAATTTTGGGTCATTTTCTCCTGGATGTTTTTCAACACCTTTTTCAGGGGTAGTTGTGGCGACATATTGTAGAAATACATATTTCTACGACTTATACATCGTAGATAATGATAATGATAATGATAAAGACATATTTGTTTCTTTTCAAATTGTTCTTTTTTACGGTCTGTTAACATGAATTTTAGCACACACACGCACATTTAACATCACCCTCGGCCATTGATGTTTGTATGTTGATTGACAATCAATCTTTTACTGATATGCCTTAAAACAATGGCTAGCGCATTCTATAGTAGTGCTACCTAGTGCTACCGTAATCCAGGAATGCCGCTTTTACTGAAATGGTAACTAAATAGAAACTCTAATATATATATTTCACTGTAAAGAAACTTGTTAAATTTGTAAACACCAAATAGTCCTTTTTCTCAAGTGTCATCACTCTCAAATTTAAAGGGCGTAATGCAAATGCGATTGATCTTAATCCCTATAATGTAAGCATGCAAATACTTCATTCAGAAATTCCGTAGTTACTTGTGTATGTCTAAACTATAAGACGAAATAGACAATCTTAGCGCTTCACATAAACTTATTGCAAAGTTGTCTCTATATTCGACCCTTAGGGCAGAGTCTAAAAAGATATAGACATGGTTTGTCTTAATATTAAGTATAGGATAATGTTAAATCCGGATACTATAAAAATCAGCAGTGGTAAAAAATCTGCAGGGGCCGGTTGTATCAAGCCCGTTTAGCTTAAACGGTGGTTAAGCTCAAAATAGAAGCAAGTCTATTGCTTTATTCACTAAATCAGTCTAAATGTTTTTAAACCTTAATATCGAGATATTGTTTTCAATTACATATTTAGTGCATAATATTCAAGTTGACTCATTCAAGAGAGTTGTAATTTTGACTTATCCACCGTTAAAATAGACGGCCTTGATACAACCGGCCCCAGATCGACAAAACTTAGAGCGGTTCTGTGACGTAGTGCGCAGCAGCTAGTTTCATCTGAACCGAAAATGCAGCTAATCGACCTCTAAACATGTCTAGAAGGAGAGAATTTTAAATAATCCGCAAACAGATAAATGCATGCGTATAGAGCACCGGGGCCGATTGTATGAAGCCCGTTTAACTTAAAGTTAAACGGTGGATAGCTAAGTCAAAATTAAATAACACTCTTACAACTCTCTTGAATGAGTCAACTTGAATATTATGCACTGAATATGTAGTTTTAAA